TTCCATCTCTACAAAGTCTTTGAAAATTAATATAATTATAATATTACGATTTTTATGTATAAAAATATATTTTGTGTACTAAAGATTATAAATTGATATTAATATTAAATTAAAAATCAATGTTTTTGAAATTGTGTCAATTTTACCAACTAGACCGGTTTGACTGTTTCAATTTTCAATATGACTGTACAGCATTATAAAAAATATATCAAATCTTTAATTTATATAATAAATATATGATTTTTTATATTATAATTTAAATTATATTGAATTATAAAATTATAATTTTTAAATTAAAAAAAGTAATATTTAAAAAAAAATTAAAAATTGATATTTAAAAAAAATAATATAAATAAAGTAAAAAACTATATTTCATGTAAGCTTAACAAATTTATTTCTAATCATAAACACAGCTAAAAATTACCCCTTTTTTTCTAGGCGGGTTGGGGTTGGGGGGTGGAAATTAAGGCTGCATTTGTTTTCGCGATCCAACGTGTGAGAGAGAGTGACTCTGGCGGCTTTGTGGCTGCTTTTCCTTTTCAAGGGACAGAGAGAGACCAGTCCAATGCATATTATTCATTCACAAGATACTTTAGTTGTTTATGGGAAATTTATGGTTTTGTTTAGTCAAATCAAAGAAAAAAAGCTTGACTTTAAGACAATACAAGTTAAAATAAACATATTATATGTATATAAAATTAAAAAAATATATTTTTTAATTAAACTACATATTAAAAATATAACTGAAATATTATAATTATTAAAATACTTTTAATAAAATATATTTATTTATTTATTTTTAATAATATTTTAATATTTTTAATACTAAAACTGCATTTTAACCAAAAAAAAATGTCAAACTCATACAAAATTAAGGTTTAATTTCTATTGAAAAAGTAAATTTAAAAAAATTAAGATATTTTAATACTAAAAATGTGAGAATCTTAAATACTATTATATAATAAAAGTGATAAAATTGAGACTTATATTATGTCTAATATATTTAATAAAATTAATTGTGTGTCATAATATTTTTAATATCAAAATATTTTGACTTTTTCAATTCACTTGAAAAAAATTAGGGGTTTATTTCTTATAATAAAAAATTAAGGTTTTTTAGTGAATTAGAGAGAAAATCTTTATTTTTAAAAAATATAAATGTATATTATGTTCAACATATTTAATAAATGTGATTGTTCACTAAACTACATCATATGACATGATTTGAATTCATTAGATTCCAATGAGGTCTTTTCTTTTCTTTTCTTTTCTTTTTTTAGGTCATTATCAAGACGAGTTCTTAGGTTGCATTGATTCTTCACCGTTGATAATTAATATTTATTTATTTTATTTAACTATTTTATTGATTATTAATTATTTTTAATAACACTAACAAAAATAATGATCGTCATAATCATGTCCTTAAAAAATTCCTTTCTCTTTTCTTTACGCTCAAGGAACTAGGGAGGCCGAATTCCAGACAAAAAAGTTCAATAGTCTCCCAATTGCCATTTTCAGCCAACAAGTTGAAGAAATCCTTAGAAAAAGAGAGGAGTCGAAAAATGGCCCCAAAAATCAAGGCAAACTGTGCTTCTCCCTTCCAATTTCCCCATGTGCAAGCATGAGGACATTGGGGCCCAATCATTAAACCACTCTCCTCTCAAGAACATGCAACTGAGAAGTAGTTGGTTGTTTGTTGGTGTTGTTGATAAACCCTAGAATTTGAACAACTAGGAAAAGGCCAATGACCAATGTTTTTACATGAATATCCCCCCAAAAGTATTCGGATTAAACTATTCATTAATATTTGGTTTCTTGACCTTTGACTCTCAGTTTCCCTTTTTTTTTTTTTTCTTTTTTGTTGAAACATGAGAATTACTTAAAATAAAATGAGTAGACTAGTGTCTTGGTAAATCAACCCTGATCATGTTAGCCAAAATGGACGTACAAAGGCTAATTAGGGGCATTCGTCAAAACCATGAAAGTCCTGAAGCGAGTGGCCCATCTTGGAGAGAATCAGCAATTGGGTTCTCACTTCTTTGGTTTTGAGATTCTTATTTTTGAGGCATTTTTGGCTACAAATTGTTGGAGGAAATTGTTGGTAGAGAAAGAAAAAAAACAACATTATGAGTTTTATAGAGAAAGATAATAGTTTAGGCTCTATTTAGTATGATTTGGGTTTTAAATCTTAAAATTTTATTTTTTATTTTCTTAGTAACTATTATTATAATTAAAAATTAAAATTTATTTAAAGACTTTAAATTTATTAATAAATTTAATTTAAATGTAATATTAATTATTAAATATATAAAAAATAAAAACTAAAAACTCAAGACCAAAATTATACTAAAATGTGTCTTAATTTCTAATTCATCAAAATTTATCTTTTCTAATCTTAAATTAAAATTTTTAAATGAAATAAAACCAATAAAAAGCATTTCAAAATTATTTATGAGAAATATATTTATTGAATAAATGTGAGAAAGCTAAATCTTAAGTAAGAAACATCAATAAAATCTTGCTATCATTATGTGTAATGTTCCTGTGGATATGTCCCAATAAACAAGAGTCCTAATAACATGATAGGTACTTTAGTTAAATTAATTTACAAAGATGAAAAGAAAACGATTAGTTAATGAAAAAAAACAAAAAAACAAAAACAAAAGCTTGATTAGAACTTGAGGAAAATGAGAAGTGGACAAAAGAGCTTTAAACCTCACGTTTCCTTTCGGAGCAAGTCATGCACATGGCCTCCTTGGTACTCCTCAGAAACCACATGGGCAATCACTATTCACTAAAAAGAACCAACCATACTGTAGCTTTATCCAAAAGTTAGGCTGGACCCAGACCATCATAACTGTTGCAACTACCGCTTACTAATTCTATATTTCTCTCTCTTCCTAACTTCCTCCCTTGTCCATTTCTCCCCATACATCTTTTTGCATTTATGTACCCCGGTTCAGTTACATCACACTTTCTTAGTTTTCATTTGTAGTGATTTACACCCATCTCAGGATCCAAGGATATGAATCCAAGTCCTCCCAACATCTTAATGCATCACTTTACCAATGGCATGCAAGAGACTTGAAAATGTATTTGTTTAATTAAGTTGTTGAAATTGAACTAATAGAATTGGTAATTGTAATTGTTTACTTTTGGTCATCTAATGATGAAACCATACCCTTTTTTAAATCTTTCATACTATCTTATCAAACTTAAGATCTCTACCTTATAATTTTTTCTTATCAATTAAAACAACCTTTTGAAAAGTTAAATTGTTGTTTGCGCATGAGAAAGTAAGATAACAGTAGACATAACTAGTGCAACAGCCAATATTGATAAGTTAGGTATCATTTGGTATTACTAGTCAAATTTTTGAAACAAAAACCGAAAAGTTAAACTAAAAATAGAATCTCTTGGTTTTCAAAAAATTAGGGAATAGTAAGATACAACCTTTGTGGAAACAACAAAGAACTCCTAACCAAGTAAAATTTTCATCAATTTCTGTTTTTTGGAGAATCGAAATAGAAATAAAGAGCCGTAAAGTAATACCAAACAGTCCCCAAGGGATTTGCAGAATAGACCTACTGGATGACTGTTATTCATGGTATATATCCTCTACCTCAGACTGAGTTTAAGGAGAGTTAGGACAAGGAGATAGAGAACTAGAGGTAACAAAGAGCACTACAATTTGCAGACATATCATTGCAAATTGCAAATATATGAAATAGAAACATGAAGAAATGTGGGGTTTTCAATATAGTTTCTCCCACTTTAATCGATAACCTATATTCATCTAGCAAAGACTACTTCCATCAAACAAATATAAAAACAACCAGATTAATGTACAGTAGTAATAGAATCATATACAGAACAGAATGAAGAAATGTATCTCCGTGCAAGGCAAAAAGAAAGAAAAAGGAAAAAAAACATTGCCAAATATTTTTATGAGTCCGCTGGTTTATAATACAAAAGAATTCAAATTGTAAAGCACTTTTTTATATTTTTATTTATTTTGGGGAAAGGAGAGGATGGTGGTAGAAGTCAAGAAAGGACCAGAAAAATGTAATTGCTAATGGCCAACACTACCAAGATGGGATATATATTAGATAGGCCACAAAGAAAGGAGTTACTTCCACTTTCTGTGAGAAAACTTGCCCTTATGCCTTCCAAACATGCCATGCTTCCCAAACTTTCCATGCTTGAACTTCCCGTGGCCATAGCCATGGCCATAGTACCCATGTCCAAGATGATGAGACCCGTGTGCCAAATGATGAGCCCCATAAGCAGCAGCTGCAGCGGCAGCACCCCCAGCTAGAATTGTTCCCATGCCTCCCATGCCAGCTCCGTGCCCTGCATTTATTATCAGTTAGCTGATTGATGAAGACAGGAAGAAAACTGAACTGACACGTACAATTTAATGAAAAACATTCTAGGTATTTTGTGAAATCGAGAAGAGAGTTCAATCAAACAAAAGTAAAATTTTAATGAGCCTTTAGGCTGTAAAACATGGGACTATGAAACACATACCATATAACAAGAAGAAAAACACATTGATAAGTGTATATCCACAATTATCATACCATACACAGAACATTAATCAGGGGTCATCACTAAATGTCAACACTATAATAGTAATCTCTGCATTATCTCAAACAATCTAAAGCTACTCTCAACTAAACTAAAACAGTTTTATATATAAGGAACAAAGAAAGGAAGTGACGAAGCATTCCATGATAACCTGCGGTAGGATGTCCACCATGAGGATAAGCAGGTGGAGGATAGCCTCCAGGTGGAGGATATCCAGCTGGTGGGTAGCCACCCGGGGGAGGATATCCGGCATTTGGGTAGCCATACGGTGGATATCCAGCGGGTGGGTAGCCTTGTGGAGGATATCCTGGAGGGGGATATCCTTGTGGTGGATATGACCCATGTGGACGTAAATGTCCAGCAGCGGCAGCAAACCCAGCAAGATTTGAAAATAACCCTTTATCACTTGACTCACCACCATGTTTGTCCTCACCACCTCCCATTTTTCTTCAATTTCCAATTGATGATACACAAAAAGAAAACCGTTGTCTGCTGGAACCAAGAAAACATAGAATCGTTATCTGAACACAACGTAAATAGAAATAACTAACAGCAGACATTAAGAAGATTAATCAAATTTCCCTAAAGGCATGTGAGTGAAAAAGATAAGTCGAAATTCTAGGATCCTCTCAATTCCGCATAATAGATACAGAGCAGAAAAAGGGGAAAGGTCAAGTTTTGACATACAATTTCCTTTCTTTTTATTGGTAGAGAACAGCATCAAATGCATAAAATTTGACATACAAGTTGAACAACAGAAGTGACCTCATGTAGAAAGGAAGAAAATGAAGAGATTAGCAATATTCCGAAATCAAATTAATGGGCCAAACCAGTGTTGTGTAGAAGGTATTAGTGAAACATCAGAACCAAATCCTAGAATCAAAGACCAGTACCATATTCTCGAGACTAACAAGAAGATATTAGTCTCCATCTGATAACTATTTTCAAAATCCTTCTTGCAGGACAGCATGAACACTTAACAAAATCCCAAAATTTTATACTTCTACATTAATGATGAAAGAAACTAAGAACGAATTAAAGCTGGACCAAAATTTGCATAGATTGATGAACTAGGATTTATTCTCAACAAACCTAAAAACAACGGGAAAATTTATGGAACAGGTGCATACTGCGTACATACATACAAACACCGACATGCATACATACATGCAGAATTCCACATCCACCATCGAGCAATGCGTGAGAGATATCCTACATGCCATTTGCATAAATATTTGATATTATAAATAAAAACAACATGAATCCATACATACATACACAGAGACGAACAACCCAGATGAGAGGAAACCACCCACGTGTTGCAAAGCAAGATTCAAAAAACGGAATCAAACCCAATTCGAAGAGCACGATAATCTAGCATACCATTATTAAGAACATGAATTAACAAGAAAAAGAAGAATTAAAGCAGAAATAGTACTTGGGATCAAACAATGAAGGCAAGGAAGAATGATACTTGGGAAAGAAAGCAGAAGAAACCGATGGCAACGATCTTACGACAAGAAAAAATGATTTATAAACAAGGGGAAAGAGATGGCTTACCAAATCCAAACTGCAAATTGTTAGCGGTTTTGCGGAGATTTTGGGTAATTCTGTGGAGATTTTTCCCTTTAAAAGTTTGTTGCATCATTATATAGGAACAATAACTTAACGCGTTCT